AATTTAGTGCTACTTGGTCCCAATGGAATTTCCCATTGGGAACCTACTAGCACTAAGTTGCTAACTGGTTAGCAATTTAGTGCTACTTGGTCCCAATGGAATTTCCCATTGGGAACCTACTAGCACTAAGTTGCTAACTGGTTAGCAATTTAGTGCTACTTGGTCCCAATGGAATTTCCCATTGGGAACCTACTAGCACTAAGTTGCTAACTGGTTAGCAAGATGCTTCCAAGACACCGGCCACAACCAAATAGCTTACGAACCTTCCGCTACAACAATCCCGCCCCCTTATTAAACGACCAATCACATTCACTTTATTCAGTCGTGTAATTTTGGAAATGCAACGGTTGGAACAGCCATTTCCTTATCACTTTAAGAAGGAAAAAAACTTTTCATCTGTCAATATTCTCTATCCAGAACTCCTCAATTGGAAAAGTTGAAGTTTCACCTGGTTTAATGTCATAAAAAGACTTCTTTAAAGAACTTTTGGTTATGAGATTATTAATAGATTAATCTAAAAAAATAATCGACAGATTAACCGATTCACAAAATAATTAGTTTCAGCCCTACTCCATAAAATAAACAGTGTGAGGGATTTTATTTTTTAATTTTTTGAACAGCCATAAACTCTTAAACCTTTTGCTTCTGTTCTTCCTCCGCAGCGTTCTGGGGAACCAGGACGGCTTCGAGTGCTACGAGGTTCAAGCCTGCGTCAAAGACTACTGCTTCGGCCGCGCGGACAGCGTGGTGGGCCTGGCCGTGGTTCAGCTGAGGGACATCATGGAGAAGGGAAACTGTGCCTGCTGGTGCCCCCTGGGGCAGCGCATCTACATGGACGACACGGGCCTCACCGCCATGCGGATCCTCTCCCAGCGCTCCAACGACGACGTGGCGAAGGAGTTCGTTCGGCTCAAGTCGGAGACGCGGTCGGCGGAGGAGGGAAGATGAGAGTGTTCTTCACCTCCTAACCCTCGTCTTCGTCAGCTGATGGGACGCAGCACGTCACAGGGCCAAATGACACCCCATCCACCCCAAGTGTTCTTGTGCAATAACCCCCCACCCCACCCTCCCTGAGGTTCAAGCCTTTCGCTCTGAAAGCTGTGAATGTTGATCTTTCTGCAGCTCCTCTGGCTGAAAACAGAAAGAAAATCCCTGTTTTTAATAACTGGAAGCTGAAGGTTTTACATCCTCATCAATCATTTCGCTTATTTTAGCAGATTAAAACAGATTATGACAGTCTGAGCGGCTAAATGTGTGCCTTGGATTAAATCTGTCTTCGTCCTGTTTGGACATTTTTGTTTCAGGCCCCGTGGCCTCATGTTTCCTGTTTTACACTGCCGCCATTTTATTTATTTTTTATATCTATTTATTTCCTTTTAGAAGACTTTGATTTCTGCTGGGAAATGATTTGTTTTTTTTACTTTTTTCCTCTCATGTTTGGACCCCGTTTGCACAGCGGCTCTGGGGAAAAAGCTGCAGTTTTGTTACAGATTAAATTGCACAACCGGACCTGAGTAAAGTTATTTACATTCATCTGTTTAAAAATACTATATAGTTTACATTTCACCCCCTTGCCCATTTATTTCTCTCTTAATTGCCTTAATTAAAAAAAAACTATTTTTTATTTATTATTTAATGTTTATTCTTAATTTCTTAATAATCTTAAATGAATTTCCCCAGATTGATGTCAAATTAGTTGAATTTCCTGAATGTTTTGTATTTTTTATTCCAGTAATTGGATGTAATCTGGGTTTTTGTGGAAATCTGTCCGTTTGGGTCTCATTTCCCGTTTTATTTATTTAGTCTTAAATGCTCCTTTTATGTTTTAAAGTGATTTTTCTGGATGTTTCTTTGCTTCTTGAAGTGACACACTGCAAAATCTAAAAATGAGTAAAAATGTCTTAAATTAAGTGTATTTACCCTGGAATGAGTATTTTTACTCTTTAAATAAGATAATTAGATAATATGCACTTGAAATAAGACAATGCAATTGTATTTTCTTATTTTAAATGTAAATTGTCTTGTTCCATTGGCAAAATGTCTCTTTTATCTCCTCAATTCAAGAACAAATGCACTAATTTTAAGAAGAAATTACTTACCTAGATTTTGTTTTTTTCCAGTGCAGCAGCCTTTTGATGGATAAAAACTGTCTCTTCTTCCTTAAAATAACGGATTCAGCCTCTTCTTTCTTCTATCTGAAGGACTCAATGTTTTTGGTGAATGAAAACAAATGTTTTTCTTGTGGAACACACTTTCCTTGTGCCAATTCAACTGTTCACTCGTTTTGTTTTTGTAATTATTGCATATTAATTTCTAACTTTTGAGGCATAAGATCAGTCAGTACTCATTAAGCACAGCGTTTCTCTTTGGAATCTCTCTTCTATCGATATTTGTCTCACCATGTAAGCTTTCCGGTTAAACGTTTTGTATAAAGTATTTAAGACATTTGTGTAAATCTCTGTTCTTTTTGCCTCACATTTGTATCATAAGTATCGTTTTTCCAACGCTTTACAAGAGGAAAAAGGCTAAATTTACATCTAAAACCAGTTCAGGCTGGATTCCAATCAGCCCACTCTTTACCAGACAAAGCTACCATACATCAGGTCTCTATAAGTTGAAATTTAGTGTATTTAGAAACATATTGTGTTTTGAAAATTAAGAAATTCATGTATGCATCTTTTTTTACCACACTTTCCTTCCACGCAACTCTCTCCCCATAACTTATCTGGAAACAGCCAGTTTATTTAGCAGTGATATCTTGGACTAATACTGAGGTTAGGATATAATTTTTCAATTAGTCTTCCATAAAAATCCTAAAAACAAAAAAATTGTATTTTGCAAGCTATTTATAATATAATTAAGGAAAAACACATTTCTGAACTAATCATTACTCAATGTGAAATTTTTAAATGATTAAATTAGTGTAATTGTTTTTCAGCCCCACCGTTTTCAGATATTTTAACAGGTATTCATTAAATATTTAGTTAATCTTACATGATTTATTTTTATTTGATATGTAACAATTATTGTTCTTAAAGAGCAAAAGGATTATTTTACTGCATGTCCCACAAGCACTGAAAAAAATCCCACAAAGTTTCTGCTTGAGGTAAAGTTTTTTTTATTTAAAAGAAAGAAAACTAATCTAGATCTGCTGACATAGATCTGTAGTGTTTGAAACCAGGTTGGAGGTTTCTTCCTGTTAAAAGGGAGTTTTTCCTCCCCACTGTCGCTACAAGCATGCTTGGTGTCAGGGATTGCCTTCAATGAGTTGATGTAATCAGATGGTTTTCCTTAGATAATAAACTTTGAATCAATTTGACTGTATGATGTAGTGAACTGCATGGAACACGAAGCAGCCAGCTTGCTTGGACTTGGCAATGAATCACGGAATACCAAAGGCTACGTAGGATACACCAGACACATCCTTCAAAGCAGGCAAAAAGAAGGATGCATTTGCTGCTGCATAACAAGGAGTCTTGCAATCCGAACAGACCTCGACGGGGCGCTATGACGTAATCAAGCGACGAATCTGGACCCAGCTGCTGAATTTGAACTCAGCAAATAGGGGAGCTCTGACGTGACAGGAACTGTCGCCACAGTCGTGGTTGGCTGATTGACAGGTTGAGTCGCAGAAGTGAAGTCCCTTAAAGCAAACTTAACAAGAGAAGCGGGAGGTGAAAACATTTGTACCTGATCAGCAGAATATCAAATTTAATCAGCAGTCCAAAAACAGATGCAGACGGTTCACTCAGTCTTTTCCCAGGACCTGGTTTAGCTTTAAAGCTTGGCTAACTGCCTGTAGCGAGGCTGAGGCTTTATTCTGCTTTACCTGCCTCCTTTTTCAAACATCAGGAACTGATCCAGCATAGATAAAAACAAGCAGGACTGATTTAAAGTACTTTTTTAGAAAAGACAAAGAAGCATAAACAATCTCAGTTCAGTTCAGCAGCTTTTATTTGTCCCAGCATGGGCAATTTTTTTGCAGTAGTAGTACACCTTTCACACACACGTTCACACATAGAAACACATAAAATATATTAAAAAGATCAAATTAAGGTGGATAAATAAATATGTGCAGTGCAGAGGATGAATAAAAGCGTAGGCCTATATGCATGCAACGTATGACTATTGTTTATATGAATAAACAATATTGGACCATGCAAAGATTTACCTTCACAAAGCCTCGGAAGGGCAGAATTTATGTACAAAAAGTAAACCTGTACATAGAATTATGTTTTGTTTTTATAAAGTGTTTTTTTAATGTTTTTTGTTGATGACACTCATATTTATATACTGGTTTAATAACTTAGTAGACGTTGGATTGGTTTTTGGTATACGTCTATTTTGTATTTATACCCCCCCTGGAAGAAACTCCACCAGCCGCCGCTGTTTATAGTTGAAAACAGACATTTGCAACAGCTTTTTTTTACATTTATTCAAAAATATTTAAAGAAATTTGATTTAAAAAAAAAACCTATATAACTTTACTGACTAGTTTCTATGTACTTCTGAGACCAGATCAGACTAGCCTGAAATGACATAAGAACCAAAGGTCCATAAGCATAAAGAACAAGCCAAGAGGTCAGATGAGCATGAACTTACATTGGGGAGGCCTCTGGTTATTGAATCTGCACACTTAACATCTTTAAAATATTCATGGAGAGTGGTTTATATGCAGTGATGGGAGTAACGGCGTTACTAACGCTGCTACCTTTTTTAGTAACGAGTAATCAAAATTATTACTCTTACTGTAACTATAACGCAGTTACAATTGCCGACACCCCGTTAGCTACTGCACGTTACTCAGGTCGCACAATTAACCTTTTTTCATGAGAGGACTTGTGTGCGCGTCGTGATATGGAAGGCCGACTGGTTTAAAAACACGCACATTTTCACGCGCAAACAACACGTGATTAACGCGTTGTTTACACGTTGTCAACGCGTTGTCTTCACCTTTTAATCGGCCACACATAGTTAACACGTTGAGAGTGCGTAAACAACGAGCAAACAACGTGTTAACCACGTGTTGTTTGCGCGTGAAAATTTGCGAGTTTTTAAACCAGTCGGCCTTCCATACATACCGACACAATGCACGTTTTTTTTAACGTGCGTCTTGTGGTACTATCATGACGCGCATATAAGGCGGCGCTTGTTGGTAAAAGACGGCGTAAAAAGTGGCGAAATCTCGGGAGAACGCGCGTTTTTTGCGGGTTAATTTCAATCTTAACGCGATAATTCAATGCGAAAAGTGGCCTTCTTGGCTTGCCAGACATCTCCGCACAGTGCGGCGGTCGATTCATTGCGCAGGCGACAGGAAACGCGCATGCTCGCTAAAGGCGCGTAACAGCCGCCCTGTGCTCGCGCCACAGGGGAACTACAGAGAGCGTGAACGATCATTAGCCTATATGGATGGATGGATGGAATAGATAGATACAGTGGCGGTTCTAGACCAAATGTACCAGGGGGGCCAGGAGGGGGTCAGCGTGTTTTCATGGGGGCCCAGAAAAGCATGAAATAAAAAACAGGATAGCTGTATGAAGTGAGACTTTTATTCAATTAAGTTTCATTAAAATTCTAAACGTCTTTTTAGGTGAATATACATTCAGAATTTGGGAATTTTACATATTTATGACTTAATTTAAGTTGAAATTACAGTCTGTAAAATCTGAATTAGAATTTAAGAAAAACTGTTAAATTCAGCTGTAAAAGATTTGACTATGTTATTAATTTGTTTTGAAAAAAACATTTATCAGATGAAAACTGGGATCATATCTCAATACCACTAAAGCTATCACCTGATTGTTTTTAAAATAGTTATAATTTGTAAAGAAAAAAATGAAATAGATCCAAAGGAACTATCAGTAACCATGCCAGTTGCAGGGCATACCATCTTTAGAATTTCTTTGAGTATTATGTTTTCAGTACAGGGGCCATAACAGGGGCCAGGACATTAGCTACAGGGGCCCTGGCCCCCGTACGCCCCCGTCTAGAACCGCCCATGGATAGATAGATATAGCTACATGTTGCAGTATCTATAACAACCCAAACACAGGATTTCAGAATTAGA